CATGCATTGTCCTTTGTCAAATTTTACCAAAAATGAAAAAGAGAGATTTAAACTTGCACCAAAATTGGGCCAAATTCCCATAATTCCCATAATAGATTGTACAGGATCCTTTGTCAAATTTCTCCAAAATTAAAAAAATTCTTCATTATTATAATTTACCTGATACATTATACATGTTCTTACGTTGTGTTTCAATTTTGAGCTGATTCCAATAACATTGTGATTCTTTACAAATTTTTACAGTTGGTACCCAATAATTAAATTGCATGTATACATATACAGTCAAGCTCCTTTATGCAGTGGACAGACCCAATAATACTGTCCTGCATGATCATGAAAGTGATCTTGTTTCAGAATGTAATTAATAATATTGTATTGGTCTTTGCTGAGTCCGTAAGTACATAATCAAACTGAATTAATTTTCTTTTAGAGTCTTCAAGAGGATTTATTAATGTAATAGCATGTCTACTGTTCTGGATTATCGCTGGTGTCTGCTTGTCTATCTCCTCCTCTTTAATTTAATTTAATTTAATTTGATGATGATTTTACAAAATGAGAACAAATATAGAGTACAGGACGAGAGAGAGAGAGAGGGATAGACAATTAAGGAATAGAGGCATCTTGAAAGGATAACCACAAGAGCTGCTGATACCAAAAGATAAAATATAATGATAAATATATAGTACTGTTAGGACTTGTGTGTGCAAGCAAGCATGAACAAAAAGAAAATTAGAATTACAGCAGCATGATTAATGAAACATAATACAATTAAAATAAAGAAAATGAAGTGAAATAAAGTACATAATAAAAGTGGGCTATTAAGGAATAATAATGACATACATAATGTATACAGTTATATAGAAGAATGAGAATATGAATGGTCTAACTCTAATGACAACATTAAGCCATTTTCACACTTTCTTCCAGTCCAAATGAATGAACATTTAACTTAACTGGAAATTAAAAACTGCTCAAGAGATCTGCCTAAGTGCAAAGGGGCTGTTTTGTACTTTCCAGACTAAATATGGTGTGAACTGAAGACATTATGTACTTCCTGATTGATACAAAACTTTAGCATACATTACGTCTGTCACAATAAACTTGTTATTGTTTTGAATTTAAGGAAATTAAGTAAACAAAATATTGACATGTATATCTTAGGCACCTTATTTATGTAAAAGAAAACTGGCATAAAAATATAGCTTTAATTTGTCAGAAATAGCAGTACTGGTTCACAACTGTTGAAATGGCAGTATCAGGAGTGATCATTGTCTTCTTGTTGAGTGTCAGTGAAGTTATTAGTCAGTTATGTCCACCTTCCTCAGGTAAGACACTGGATGTGTATAATAACAACTGTATAGGTTTTTATAGGTATCTACCTGACCAGATCTTATGCAGGAACCTGCTATCCTAATGGATCATATTTTTGGGATAGTACTGTCAATGCAGTTACTGAAGCTATATCATGTGTGTTACCTGGTACTAGTCTAACTACTGGTCAGTGGGTTAGAGTTGCTGATCCTGATGATCCTGTTGACTGTAACAGTAATAGTGCCAGTGATCCTTTTCTTTGTACTAATGTCACTTCACCTAATGCTACTCTCAATCTTTATCTTGCTCAGTCACTATCAGCAGCTCAAGAAGGCTGGTACAAGTGTTATCTACCCGCTCATTGTTCAGATCCTAACACTAGCATCATCTTTGCTAATATATTCAGTAAGAGGAGACCACAATCACTTACTGATGTAATAATTTTCATATGTAGGATTTGCTGAGATAGAATCATTTACTGTTGCTGATCTTCTTTTTGATATGACAGTATATCCTCAGGAATACAAACTGAATTGTACAAAAATTGGACACTATGGTTATGGTATTAGTATGAGCATTAATAGTACTGCACTGGCTAATTATACTAATTGTAAGGATCGAATTAGTAATTGTCCTGGTACTGTGTTACTTAGTGATACCAACACAGTGAGCTATATTGTTGATATCACATGGGATGGAATGACTGTCAGTAGTGGATCAATCAGTCAATTAACCACTGGAGATCAAATGTATCAGTGTGTACTGGATAATCCTAGTGGTGCTGATAGAACATGTACTTTAATCATAAAAGGTAAATGATAAGGATACACTAATAATTATGTACACATGTCTCCCTTTAAGTTCCAGCAACTGCTCCCTCTTCTCTTACTGAGGTCAACAAGACAGCTACCACTATCACTGTCAGTTGGACTGCACTTGATTCATCTGATGCTGATGGATATGTAGTCAATGTCACTAGTGACACAGACACTGTGCAGACAGTACAGGTGGAGGGAAGTAGTAATAATACGATCACACTGAATGGACTGAGAGAACTGACATTTTATAGCATCACAGTCAGAGCCTATCAACAATTACTGGGACCTGCTAGTACAATCAGTGTCTTTACTCATATTTGTCAGCAAGAAGGTATTTTATTTCAATATAAGTTAATGGATTTGTAAGTAATGATCTGATAGAAATCTACCTGATGCATAATAGAAACTGTTATCCTAATGGATCATATTTTTGGGATAGTAGTGTCAATGCAGCAAATGAAGCTATATCATGTGTGTTACCTGGTACTAGTCTAACTACTGGTCAGTGGGTTAGAGTAGCTGATCCTGATGATCCTGTTGACTGTAACAGTAATAGTGCCAGTGATCCTTTTCGTTGCACTACTGTAACTTCACCTGCTACTCTCAATCTTTATCTTGCTCAGGGACTATCAGAAGCTCAAGAAGGCTGGTACAAGTGTTGTCTACCCACTGATTGTTCAAATTCTAACACTAACATCATCTTTGCTAATATATTCAGTAAAAGGATGTTGGTAGTCACTCACTGATGTAATAATTAATATTTTATTTGTAGGATTTGCAGAGATAAAATCATTTATTGCCATTGCTGATTTTTCTTCTGATATGACAGTATATCCTCAGGAATACAAACTAAATTGTACTAAAATTGGATACTATGGTTATGGTATTAGTATGAGCATTAATAGTACTGCACTGGCTAATTATACTAATTGTGAAGATCGAATTAGTAATTGTCCTGGTACTGTGTTAGTTAGTGATACCAACACAGTGAGCTATATTGTTGATATCACATGGGATGGAATGAAAGTCAGTAGTGGATCAATCAGTCAATCAACCACTGGAGATCAAATGTATCAGTGTGTAGTGGATAATCCTAGTGGTGCTGATGATAGAGTACGTACTTTAACCATAAAAGGTAAATGATAAGGATACACTAATAATTATGTACACATGTCTCCCTTTAAGTTCCAGCAACTGCTCCCTCTTCTCTTACTGAGGTCAACAAGACAGCTACCACTATCACTGTCAGTTGGACTGCACTTGATTCATCTGATGCTGATGGATATGTAGTCAATGTCACTAGTGACACAGACACTGTCCAGACAGTACAGGTGGAGGGAAGTAGTAATAATACAATCACACTGAATGGAATGAATAAAGGAACAATGTATAACATCACAGTCAGAGCCTATCAAGAACTATTAGGACCTGCTAGTAGTGCAATCAGTGTACAGACCTTACCAGGTATTGCTACTGCACCTTTTAATGTTGTTCATGTATTTCTAGTTATTAATTCAATCAATCGGACACTAGTCTCATCCATTACACAACTCAATAACACTCAATATTGTATTGATTGTCTCACAACTACTGATATAAATCCTTTAACTGATGTTTACTGGTTAGTGAATGGAGTAATGAAGAGTAACTCAATGTATACTTTAATTGATGTCCTGACATACAACAACACACTACTGGTATATCCTGATCCACTGGGAGTCTCAGTTAATGTTACCTGTATAGCAATGATTGGAGGAGTCAACTACAGTCAATCTGTGATATTACATGGTATGATTATCTTTAATCAATAGTAGATACCTTTGTCTCTTTTATAGCTCCTAGTGGTCCTCCAAATAATGTGAGAGGGTTTATATTAAATGATACTAGTATCAAAGTGAACTGGACCAATTCATCAGAGACTAATGGATATGTGATTGAGTATACTACTGGAGGTGTAACCAGGAATGTAGTATCTACTAGTGAAGATGAAATTGTACTAACAAATCTCTCACCAATGAGTACTTATACCATCAGTGTGTACTCATATATAGATCTTCCTTCAGTTAATAGTACAGTAACAGTGTTAAGATTCAATGGTGAGTTATTATCATTGAGAGAGTGTAATTGATATCTGATCTAGTTCCTAGTCCAGTAACTAGTCTCTCAGTATCTAATGTCTCAATCACTGGTATTACAGTGAACTGGACTATTCCCAGTAGTGACAACTATGTGACATACTACACCATCTCCTATACTCCATCTTGTCCCCAGTTATCATCAGTGAATGAGACAGTCTCTGTTGCTCCTCATCAGTCCACTACAACATGCAGTTATACATTAATAGGTCTGTACAGTGGAATGAACTATACCATCACAGTGAGAGCTGGTAATGTACTAGGAGGATCTGATCCTTCTTCAATTAGTGATGATACAGTATCATCAAGTGGTATGCATGCTATATGTATATATTTAAATCTTATATATTTTTTGCATAGTTCCTACTGGAGTACCTAATTCATTGTCTTTGTTACAACCAATCAATAATCTCACTTGGAATGAGGTCAATTGTTCAGAGCGCAATGGTCTAATCACAGGCTATAATACAGTGATTGTCAGTAACAGTAGTATCACATACAACCTCACCAGTACTGAGAGATATATCATATTGAATGATCTAGTATTTGGTACTGAGTATAACATCAGTGTAGCTGCTGTCAATTCTGTTGGAAGAGGTCCCTTCAGTGATCCTATTGAAGTAGAAATTGGAATAGGTATGTATTTATTATACTATATCAGTTCAGTGAGAATGTGTCTTTATTTAGTACCTGGTCCAGTTGGTTCAGTATCCAGTATCATGGGCACTACATGGGCTGTTATCTCATGGAGTGTACCTAGTTATATTCCATCAGGCTATCCCATTATCACATTTGAGATAGGATATCATATCTTACAGTCTGCAGGTGCCTGTTTGATGGTACATGATGTTAACATTAATATTCAAATGTTTCGGTTTTCTAATTCAACCAACCACAATACATTTATTAACATTACTGGTCTTAATGATATGTCCTGTTATATTTTTGGTGTACGTGCATACACTGTTAATGGATATGGAGAATGGACAGTTATTGCTAATGAGACATTAACACTACCACCACAGCCTTCACCTAGCACAATGTCCACAGTTTATACTAGTTCATCTACTGGGTATTGTTCAATAAGTAAGTAGATTATTATAATTAATTTTTTTGCATTTATGTTTGCTCATGCATCTTATACAGCATGTCCTTGCACTTCAGTCTCTAATGCTACTCCAGTTTCAGTAATCCCATCAACTAGTGATGCATCTAATAGTATTATTGCTCTTAGTGTGTTAGTGGGTATATTGTGTGGTCTACTAACTGTCAGTGTTATTGTTCATATCTGCTGCTTTATAAGGTATATTTTACATAATTGTTATGTGGTATGACAATTGTTATTGTTTTTATTATAGAAAGAAGAATTCATACACTGTTAATAAGCAAACAAAGTTAGTTTATTCTATTATTTTAAGCTATTCACTTCTTTATTAGAGCTGATGATGATATTTCAATGCAATTATGTGAACCATATGAAATTCACAAGTCTAAACAAAGTGAAGAGAATGAAGGAGTCTATGATGAATGTCAAACATCACCTGATGATGTTTATGAACGTATGCCACAATAAATGTACTAGAATTACTTAATATACTAAAGTAACTCGTTAGGCATTTTCACTAGTTCTAGTCCAGCAATTAATTTTATTTTTCATATAATTATACATTACATAGTTTGTGTGATAAAAGATAATACAATTTTAGGACTGCATTTAATAATCTTTGTGTAGTCTTGAGAATGTGGCACAAAATTTAACGAGAGAAGGAAAGTATATGCAAATTAATAGAAAGACTTATATACTTACCAAAATTTCATTCTAGTCAGTGGTTTGGTATTAATCACATGATTCTTCTAATGGTATGATTCCACAATGACTTTCTACCAACATCTCAACTAATACATGTATGCATGTGTTGATATAGTTGCTTCAAGGTTTAATAACAATCATCTTGTACTATTATATTACAGGATATTTTGTCAAAAATTTTGAGAATAAATTCTCCATTAAAAAATGATTGATGCATATAAATGTTTTTTATGTTATACAGAAAATTTGAGATGATTTTAAATTTTTAATCAAACTTGGATTTTTCTAAAATTTTAATCACACTTGGATTATTCATACATTATCCTTTGTCACATTTCACCAAAAATGAAAAAGAGAGAAATTTTTATTTTTATAATTTTCTTGATGTTCTTATGTTGTTTTGTAATTTGAAGCTGACTCTACTTACATTTAGAATTCTTATAAATTTTTTAACTTGCACCAAAATTGGGCCAAATTCCCATAATAGATCGTACAGGATCCTTGGTCAAATTTCACTGAAATTAAAAAAAATTCTTCATTATCATAATTTACCTGATACATTATACATGTATACATGTTCTTACATTGTGTTTTAATTTTGAACTGATTCCAATAACATTTTGATTCTTTACAAATTTTTACAGTTGGTACCCAATAATTAAACTGCATATATACATATACAATCAACTCCTCTATGCAGTGGACGGACCCAATAATACTGTCCTGCATGATCATGAAAGTGATCTTGTTTCAGAATGTAATTAATAATATTGTATTGGTCTTTGCTGAGTCCATAAGTGCATAATCAAGCTGAATTGATTTTCTTTTAGAGTCTTCAAGAGGATTTCTTAATGTAATAACTTGTCTACTGTTCTGGATTATAACTGGTGTCTGCTTGTCTATCTCTTCCTGTTTAATTTAATTTAATTTAATTTAATTTGATGGTGATTTTACAAAATGAGAACAAATATAAAGTACAGAACGAGAGAGAGAGAGAGGGATAGAGAATTAAGGAATAGAGGCATCTTGAAAGGATAACCACAAGAGCTGCTGATACCAAAAGATAAAATATAATGATAAATATATAGTACTGTTAGGACTTGTGTGTGCAAGCAAGCATGAGCAAAAAGAAAATTAGAATTACAGCAGCATGATTAATGAAACATAATACAATTAAAATAAAGAAAATGAAGTGAAATAAAGTACATAATAAAAGTGGGCTATTAAGGAATAATAATGACATACATAATGTATACAGTTATATAGAAGAATGAGAATATGAATGGTCTAACTCTAATGACAACATTAAGCCATTTTTACACTTTCTTCCAGTCCAAATGAATGAACATTTAACTTAACTGGAAATTAAAAACTGCTCAAGAGATCTGCCTAGGTGCAAAGGGGCTGTTTTGTACTTTCCAGACTAAATATGGTGTGAACTGAAGACATTATGTACTTCCTGATTGATACAAAACTTTAGCGTACATTACGTCTGTCACAATAAACTTGTTATTGTTTTGAATTTAAGGAAATTAAGTAAACAAAATATTGACATGTATATCTTAGGCACCTTATTTATGTAAAAGAAAACTGGCATAAAAATATAGCTTCAATTTGTNCAAAATAGCAGTACTGGTTCACAACTGTTGAAATGGCAGTATCAGGAGTGATCATTGCCTT